TAAAATTTTATAATACTATTACTAAATAGATGTATAAAAATAAAAATTTATATTTATATGTAGTCATACCCTTGTTCGATGTATTCGTGCTGTATCATATCTATATCTCGTATCCGTGTCCGTGCTACATAGTTGGCCAATCAAGCTTGATATTAAACTTTTGTGGATCTGTGCATGAAGTTGAATGGACATGGTAGTTCTAGGAAAAACTAAACCCACTGTAGGCCCAATCAAATTGGGCTGGGCCAAAATATTCTAACTCCTTACTTAAGCTATGAGTCCAGTAATGCTCAGAGACCAAAAAGTTGCTGTGGATGGGAGTCCAAAGTCCAACTAAACTTTTTATATCTATACTTGTACGTACCTCACACCATTGGTAGTTCTATGGCCCAATCATACTGGGTTGGGCCTAAATATGGGTAATTAGGTTCTCTCACTTTATTTATATAGGTTTCCTTTAGTTGCTTATAAAAACATATTGAATTTAACACATACACTGCCTCCAATTTTGCTAGATTGAATAGAGAGTTGGATATGGAACGGGAGATTACATGTGTATAAGGGGGGATTATGGGGTATTTTAAGAGGCCCGTACCACCATTACAACCAAAAAATAATTATTATTATTATTTGACACACTAGTGCTGGATGGATACATACTGAAGCCTAAAATGAGAGATTTAAAAGTCAATATTATTTATTTTTTTATTGATAAGAAATTCACACATTCATTTATCTCTTTCTAAAATTAGGTAATTATTCATAATGTTTATACTCTTGTTGGTTAATTAATAAAAAAATATCTAAAATATATATATTTAATTAATAGATTTATACCAAGAGTTGTAAATAAGTAATATTTTCTCTATCTCATAAAATTGACTAGTGACAAATGAATGTGTGAATTTCTTATCAATAAAAAAATAAATAATATTGACTTTTAAATCTCTCATTTTAGGCTTCAGTATGTATCCATCCAGCCTTCCCTCTTAGGTTTGTATGTAAATTAGGTCTTTGCCTATCTGCTAGGCAAGAGATTGCTGAACTAAATAAAGATTTCATGATCATATACAATCACTAAATTGAGACAATTTTTTAAAAAATTTATAAAAAATTAAATAAATTATTTAATAACATCTTTTAATACAATAATTAAATACCAACAGGCCAGTGCTGTAACGGTATCAGCCTCTTACTTCCCAAAGGGAGGTCAGGGGTTCAAATTTCAAAAAAGATGTGTGTATGAGTACCAACTAAAAAAAAAAAAAAAATTGAAACGATAATTAAATATAGAAAGCTCATGAGTGAATTCTCTTAATAGCATTACTCTTTGACGTTCTCATGTATTTTGGTTCTTCATACCAACTGTGGAACCAATGACAATTATTATTTTCGGTGGTTAAACTCCCATTGTTTCGAACATTTTTTCGGTGGTTAAACTCCCATTGTTTCTCCAATAATGATATTCAAATCCATTTGTCACGCCTACTTCTCATAGTGAAACAATTAAAGTCATTGATGGTTCTAAGTGAGACTCGTTTTAAACTCCACTCTAAAACATCAACTACTTCAGTTATTGAGTCAAGTGTAGAAAACATCCATGTATTATATATGCTTATAGTGCATATGGCACTCCTCGTATGCAAAAAAACACTTATAATGTATCAAATTAATGCAAGCAGACATATTTAAAGTAGAGTTAAACTAAAATACCCCCACTTTGACATTTTATAAAAAATATTTTTAAAAAAAATCATTTTGTAAAATGATTGAAAAGAACTTTGTGCAACCAATCTCCCAAGGAGGTAATATGTTTCTAATCTCATAGTAGAGGGGTGTTATGTGCACATAAAATACAATATATATATATATTTGGAATTATTGAATTTGCACATGAAAATAAATTATATATATATATTTATTTTAGCACGATTTTTGTATTTAAGCTAGGATTCGTTATGTTGAACTAAAAAATAATTTGAAATGAGATTGAATTTAAAATTATATATCAGAGAAAATTTTCGATAATTTCGTACCTAGAATAAATAAATAATTAATTATTGCATTTCATATGCAATAATTAGGTAAAGAATCAGAAATAATTCCAAAATATATATATATTGCATTTCATATGCACATAACACCCATTTACAATGAGATTAGTAACATATATATCTCTTTAGGCATTTTTGAAAAAAAAAAATTTAATAAAACGGATATTATAATACTAATTTATGTCAAATTTTTAATTAAAGGATATTTTCGTACAATATAAAAAGAATATGAATATTTTTTTGCACACTTTTTAAAAATGAGAGATTAAAAGTATACAGGCTGTTTTTTTTGCATTTGGCCGTTAATTATTTTACTGCATGCTTAACAAATACGGAGTATCTAAAGTTTGGGTTGGGCCACAGTCATCTTAACGTGGAATGGGGCCTTAACCCAGAGGCACACACAGATTCCGTGCTAGGATTGCTGATCCCAAACTTTTTCCGGTTTGGTCAAAACTAAAAAAAACAATTTTGTAGTCAAAGTTGGACTTAAATATCGTACCATAAGAGCGACTAGTCAACTAAATTCTGTTCAATTATTTTCGAGTTGTCAACCATTTTAGTTAATTAAAACTTGACTTCAAATAATAATAAAAAAAAAGCTAATCTCAAACTTTGTTTGGCTTGACTTGTGTTGATGCCAAGGGCAACCTAAACTCGAATGCTATCATGTGTATTTTTTATTTATTTATGTATTTACAATTTTAAATATTAAAGGTATAATAATAATTGAAATCAACCTTTTCTTCTTCTGTTTCTTTTTTTTTCTTTCTTTTTAAATAATTATATATTAATCTTTTGGAGGATTTATTTCTTAAGAATTTGTTTTATTTTTTTTTTATATTTACATTCAATTTTTTATATGTATATTTTTTTCTTATGCACATGAGTAACTCAATCCAAGACTGACTCGAGATCAACCTATTATTACTATAACCTAAGTCCAAAAATTCAAAATATTGAACTTGGATTAAAGGTGATATGAGTTGATCCTAACTCATCTGAATTGCACCCCTAATTACTAAAAAGACTAAATGGTACATAAGTTAGAACCTAGATAATACAATAATTTTTTGGTAATATAATATTGGTATAAAATATAAATACTTGAACTGGCCCACCTTTGTTTGATTCCATGAGTCCTTGGTGGAAGAACAAGATGAGCTGAAATTGTATCCAACGTGTTTATTAAGCTAAATAAGATTATCATGATTCATGACTTTATTTGGGTGGTGTCTTGTCTACCACTTGATGGTGAGGACTGAGGAGATAATGCTATAAAATGTAGAAAAGAAAATTAATGAAAAACTTGAAATTTAATGCAAGAATTTTAAACAATTGGTAGCATGTAAAATGTTTTCAACATTTTTTTGTGGTCATGTGTATAATTTCTTGAGGAAAAAATAATATACGAACCAAAAAATGACATTTTTTTAACAAAAAAAATATTAATTTACAAACCAAAAATGGCAACCTTTTTTTTTTTTTTGGTTGGAAGTCATTTTTGAAACTACACCTTTAACCTGTGTTCCCAAACAAGTCATTTTTATATAATTATAAACACATGTATATATACGTACATATAAAACAACATAGAATGTGTATGTATATTTAGACGCATATAATATACATATAAATTTATATGAATAGAGATGCAACATTTGAATGTCCAACAGGGGTTTACTTGATTTGGAGTGTAAGCCCCACCATGTGATGTTATTGTTTATGCCAATGTCCGACTCACCACATAATATGGCACAACTTCCTTCCTAAATGTTCAACCTTGCTCCACAAGTTTTCGAACTTTCAAAACGGAAAAGAAAATTGCTTCCTGCACATATCAGTCTGTTCCGATAAAGTGCAACTGGTTAAACTTTTTGGAATCAACATTCCAACCATTATGCCTAAGTGCAACTAGTATCACTTTTTCATAATGCAATTTCTTACAAGAATTTGACCCACAACTCATCAGTCTCCACATTAGGTCAAAATGTCAAATTCTATTGGATGTTAACATCTTCATCACAACTAATATGTCACTACTTCCTTTTCAAATGATAGACCTTACTCCAAAAGGATTTGAGTTTTCAAAACGGAAAACGAAACTACTTCCCGCATATATCAAGTGCAACCGATTTTAATAAAATATAACTGGTTTTACTTCTCCAAATAACCATTCCAACCCTTTTCTTATTCAAAATGCAATTTTTCACATAAAATTTAAGCCACAACCCAAACAAGTTACATAGAAATGCACATACTAGTTTGCCGAAATTGGAGATTATTCATGTTCCAGCAAACCCATTGAAGTTGGTGGTAGGGTTACGCCAGGGCATTTGTAGGCTAATATAAAATGCTTATATGAGCATATAATATACACTTCTCATAATTATATATTAAGTTGTTTTTAAAAATTCAACAACCAACAACGGAAAAAGAAAAAGAAGAAACAAATGATTTTTCCATATAAAATATTTACTTCTAGAGTCGTCTAACAGTATTGTTAGATGAAATGGGTTATGAAGTGGGTTCACACAATAATGAAACTTCCATAAGATACACACACGCACATAATAATAATAATAATTATTATTATTATTACTTTTCCACTAACAAAACAATTATTGGTATACTATTAATCTGGAAACTTAGAAAGCCATGATTGATGACCACTCGCACTCGTCGTGTATGACCAAGACTCTCTATTGGGCATTTAGGCCACGAGGGTTGGCGTTACTGGATTCGATTCTCTCTCTGTGATTATCATGTTTCTGTCGTGGCTTCCTTTGTTTGTTCTGCTTTTCTGGTTGGAGTCAATTATCCTCTCTTGCCCCCACATTGTGGCACCCACACCCACCATTACCATACATGCTCAAATGCCCACTTCATCTTTTGTATTTTTGGTGCTTTTCTAACGTTAACATCAATGGCGGCCACTGTTAATAGTGTTTGTTAATCTGAACGTGGTCCCATTTTGTCATACCAAGGATTAAAGAGGAACAAATAAACAGAAAGCAGAATAAACAACTCTGTTTTTTCTCAGCAAACTAGTTTTAAATTATCAAGTATTTTATCAACACCACATGTGGGTTGTGTTGGGTATGTGCTCTTTTTGAAGGGTTTTGTTGCATTTCAAAAGAATTAACTGTTTATTGTTGCTTTTAGGGCTTTTTGGGCAAATAATCTAGATGGGTTTTTTCTGTTGCTGAGGTTTTTTCCCAATTTGAGCTTATAAGCTTCAGTGGAATGGAGGTTTCAGCTCTGAATCTGGTCATTTTTGGGGCTTTTCTAGGGCTGAGACCATTATACCATTCATTTGGAAAGCGCTTTAGGTAAGTATCTATGTTTTGATGATTCTGAAATTATTGAGTTCTGGAATGATAGAGGAAGATTGGTCCTGATTTGGGTATTTGCTCTTTTTGCAGGGTTTGTTGCATGTCCAAAAAAATTACTGTTTATTGTTGCTTTTAGGGCTTTTTTAGCAAAGAATCTAGATGGGTTTGTTCTGTTGCTAAGGTTTTTCCCAATTTGAGCTTATAAGCTTTAGTGGGTGAGCTTTCAGCTCTGAATCTGGTCAAATTTGGGGCTTTTGCGGTGGTGATACCATTAATTTGGAAAGCTATTGGTAAGTTTCTGGTTTTGACGATTCCATAAAAGAAAGGTTCTTTTGAGGCCTGGAATGATAGTGGAAGATTTGTCTTGATTTCCTGGCCAGCATAAAGGTACTTAGCAATCATTTTAAGTTATGAAACTAGTTCTTTTTTAGTTCTATATAAAGCAGTGAGTTACAGCTTTCCATTTTTTTTGCATCAAAAATTGAGGTGAAAGTTTGTGAGGGACAAGGGTTTTTTGATCTCTGAATTGGGTATTTTCATTTGGTTAAAGACCTTGTATGTAAGAACTGGGGTTTTAACTGGAAAGAAGTTATTTTATTGAGATTTGCTGAGATATTTGCAAAAACTGTGTCCGATCATGGCGGAAAATAAGTAGTTTTTGAGCTCTTGAAGCTCAAAAAAAGTTGTGGTTCTGAATTGAAGGGAGAGTTTGTTGTTGGTATTTCGTTAGATTTCTGCAAAATTTGTGCATGATCATGGAGAAACAGAACAGTTTCCGACCTGCAACAATGGAGAAACAGCAGAGCTTTCGCGGTGGGGTGATGGAGAAGCAGAAGAGCTTTCGCGGTTTGATGGAGAAGCAGAAGAGCTTTCGGATAGTGATGGAGAGGCAGTTCAGCTTTGGCGGTGAGAGGAAGAAAAGCAAGGAGTCACCTGGGAAAAGAGGCGACTCTCCACTTCATCTGGCTGCTCGAGGTGGGAATTTGACTAGAATTAGGGAAATTTTTCAGAAGTGTGATACTAATGGAGTGAAGGATTTGCTATCAAAGCAGAACCTGGAGGGGGAGACTGCCCTATATGTTGCCGCGGAGAATGGGCATGCGCTAGTTGTTGGAGAGTTCTTGAAACATTTGGACCTTCAAACTGCATCTATTGCAGCCAAGAATGGCTATGATTCATTTCATATTGCAGCAAAGCAGGGTCATCTCGGTAAGAATTCAATCATGTCCTTTATTCTCTGTTTAATATAGGCTCTACTTGTTGTCTAGAAATTGTTGGGACTTAAAGGTTTGTTTTTGTTGAGTTTGGTTGTGTTGGTGGAACAATTTATATTCTAAAAATTGTATAAGCATCTGCATTAATTGTGTGCTCAGAGCACAGGATTAATATTACTATGTTTAAAATAATTGAACACTTCTTAAAAAATAATGTCGATCTCCGGTGCCTTTAGCTACCACAAACTCTGTTGTCATTTTGAAAATCCAGTCTTGTTCTTGATTTCTCTTTTTTAATACAGACACCATCTATTATTCATAAATTGTTGGGATAAAAGCTTTTGTTTTGTTAAGCTGGATTGTGTTGACTGTTGGTGGAACAAAGTTGATTCTGATAATTGTATAGGAGCATCTGCATTAATAGCGTCCTTGGAGCACAAGGCTTGTATACTTTGTTAATACACACTTCTTTGAAAGGATGAATTTTCATTGCCTTTTGCTGCCACAAACTTGCTGCTGTGGAAGTGTCCTAATTATCCAGTTTGTTCCTCATTAATCAGAGTGCTAGGAGGGGAACTGGATACAGGCTTAACCTTTTGTCATTATTGGCACAAAATGGCTGCTCTTAGGATTCAAAACCACATTCTTGCGCTTAATAGCCCGAGTTTTTTATCACCTCATCGGGCATCTTGAGCATTTTACCAAGAGTTCTCAAATTTGCTTTTTGTATCTTGAAAAATACATATAGAGATTGAGCATGGAAAGACAGTCAACAAATGCATATAAAGGTTGAGTTGATTATCAGTGATGCAAATGTTATGGAAAGATAGTTCTCGCATGTCCAATCCAGTGTCTTAGGCATCTTGCTAATGGAGCTGGCTATCGAGTGGCTAAGTTTGCTCATCAAGTGGAGAAATGCAAGTCCTGAGTGGATGTTTCTTTTGCCTTGTTACTATATATTTTGAAAACTTGTAACCGTGCTTTTCACTTGATTTAGGCAGTGCGAGAGTGTGAATTTGATTGAAAAAGCAAGCCTCTCTTGGGTATAAAGTTTCTGTAAACCTTCATTTTTACTCATAATTTTACCAAATTTTCACTTCATATATTCAGTCATACTTAGTAAGAAGACTCTCTAGATTTTGAAGTATATATCCGTTGTTTGTCCTGACCCCTTCTCCAAGTCCCCTTAAATCACATCAGTGTATCTAATGGATGCTCATTTGAGTCATTTCTCTTTAAAACCCTCTGTATTGTCTCCCCAACAACCCCATCATATTGTTTGTCTAAGATAATTTATATGGTGTGCAGGTCTTACTTTTTATGTCTGTGTTCTTTTTCTTCTTTTTTTCCTGCCAATTGCTATAGTAGAGAGTAGTTTCAATCATAGAACTTTCAGGGATAAAATCAAATTGATTTTCTAATTCTGTTGCCTCGTGTCATCTTCATTAAAGTAACCCCTCTCAAACTTTCTTTGGTTTATAAGCTTAATACCATAATAGTTGGTGCAACTATGAATCACATTATTCATATTTTTCTCCATTTCTCAGGCATCTGCCAGGTCTATAAGTTCTACTTAAACAAATCAGTCAATTAAAGCACTCCATCACCCAATTACTTCCAAACCTTAAAAAAAAATTCCATCTGATTGTACGATATTTCATGCTTTCATTTCTTTTCATATAAAATGCCATATGACACAAAATATATTTATTTCAATGTTACATAGAACATAAGGGAATTATTTCATCCGCCGGATTTCCAAAGCATAATTGGATTTTTTCTTTGTCATTTGCTGAGTTGAAACTTGTGTTGAACAACATAGTTGTTCCTTCAAGCGTGCATGATAATATAGTTTTGCAATTTTCTGGATATGAATATAAAAATGTGTTTCTTGTTCCGTTTGTGACACTTTTTTTTTTTTTTAATTCCTTTGGTTCTTTTTGTTATCTAGAGAACTTCATTCAAAGACATGATTCCTAAACTTATCATGCAGTTTTGTGCCACTCTGATCAATGTTCATTGTTTTTTGTCTGTTATCGTGATTATTAATAATAGAGTTTGTTTCTGCTATAAAGTTTTTTTTTGTAGAACAATAGAAAGCCTTTATTTTCTCTTTTCTTTATTGCTTCAAGTTGTCAGTGAGATGAAATACATCTTGTGTATTATTTGTTGCTTTATCTTAATCACTTTGATACTGGTTTCATGATTGAGTTAAAATACCCTTGTATGGAAAACCTAAAACATTTTTAGAGATCTAACTTTGTTGAATTTAGGTTGAAGACTTGTGTTGATATAAAATCTTGCTGAAGTAGAACTTCCCTGTGGCTTTTTCCATCCACATTTAATGCAATGTACACCAAAGATTATTTAGTTCATTTATGCAGAGGGGATGTTGCGTTAATTTGCTAAAACATTTCTTTGGCATGATTTTCCAGAGGTACTAAAGGAACTTTTGAGTTCCTTCCCCAACCTGGTCATGACCACAGATCCATCGAATTCTACTGCTTTACACACAGCTGCAGCCCAAGGACACATTGAAGCAGTGGATTTGCTTCTAGAAGCTGACCAAAATCTTGCTAAGATAGCCCGAAACAATGGTAAGACTGTGCTCCATTCGGCAGCAAGGATGGGCCACTTGGAAGTGGTGAAATCCCTGTTAAGGAAGGATCCAAGTATTGGTTTTAGGACCGATAAGAAAGGTCAAACTGCACTGCTCATGGCTGTCAAAGGGCAAAATGTGGATATTGTGCTTGAATTGATTAAACCTGACCTGGCAGTTTTGAGTTTGGAAGATAGCAAGGGTAACACGGCACTGCATATTGCAACAAGGAAGGGCCGTACTCAGGTATTTCCACATTCCCTGTCTTTTTAAAAAATAAAAAATCATTTATCTTGTGAACTTTGTGTCAAATCTCGTCAAGATTTGCTATTTAAGAATTTACATGTAGTTGATATTTTAAAATCTTATGCAACTCTGAGCCGGTAACCTGCAAATCCTTCCTAGATTTTATTGATATTAGATGGTCCAAATACTGAATGTATTGCTAACTTTTTCAACTTATAATGAAATAAAATGAATAAAAGTTCGGAAGAAGAATAATTAATTTGTTTGTTATGTCTTGTTGGAGTTGAATGCATACTGGGTTTTTCACATCAGAAACCCAAATTTATGTCTTTATCTAATGTGGTCCTCGTTCATCAAGGGTGCTAAAAGGTGCAGAGTAGATCATGACCTAAACTTCAGCACTATTTTCACAAAGTGACTTCTCTCAAGTGGTTTATTTGGCAAGTGGTTAGTTTATAACCGGCTCTACCATGCTTCTGTGGTTGGTGAGATTTTCATCAGCAAGTAGCCTCAGTTACCAACGCTCTTAGTGATTGTTTAATATAGTGTTAACATGGCAAGGTACCAAACTTGTGGTACTTGTGTATAAATTATGTGAAAGTAGAACTTAAACATGTATTGGTAATTGCTCTTCCACAACAACAGGGAAATTAAATACTTGTTTGATTATCTGAGCTCAAAACTCAACCAACAACATAAATCATTTTTTAAAAATTGAAAATTTCACTTTAAGATTTTCAGCTTAAATTCATGTTGGGTGGTAGTCCATGCATTTCAGAATCTTTACGCAACCTTTGGTGTCAAAAAAAAAAGAAGTTCATTGTTAGTGTGTCATTTTATTGCCACTTGGTTGTAACACATATTCCTAATGCTTAACTAAAGAAGACCAAAATCAGTGGACATTTTTTTTTTTTCCCTTTCCCCTTACATATCCTAGAGAAATGTACAATGTATCATTCATTCCTATCATATGACCTAGTAAGTCACTTATTTAGTGTTCAACTATGTATTGTCACCAGCTTTTCGTGTTCAACTACGTATTAACTGTGATGTATGATGTTCAAGTACGCATTATACTGCTTAAATTGTCACGAGTTTTTCGGAACTCTGGTTGACATCAACAAGTCTGTGATTCTTACATAAAAACTTACCAATGTCTAGATTTTTAGAATGAACTTGTTGAATTTTATATCTTGCCAAAGCACTTGTCAGTGAATCATAAGAGTTGGTTAAAGAGAAGTATCTCAAAGCTAAATCATAGGGGATTTCATGTATAAGATGAAACTCAGCTTACTTTTTTTACTTTTATTTTTCCTAGTTGGTACTTACACACACTTGTCTCTTCTAAGACTTGAATCTCTGACCTCCCTTTGGGAAGTAAGAGGCTGATACCGCTAGGCCAATGGCCCGTTGGTGAAGCTCAGCTTATTGGTATAGAATATCAGCCAAAGCGAATGATCTCTTGAGTATATAATGTGAAGATCGTTGTTATATCTTTAGGCCTAATTTACAGTGTGACTTTCACACAATCGACAATCATCTTTATTTTATTGCAGATTGTAAAGTGTCTACTATCTGTTGAGGGCATTAACATCAATGCAATTAACAAGGCTGGGGAGACCCCACTTGATATTGCAGAAAAGTTTGGTACTCCAGAACTTGTCACTGTCTTAAGAGAAGCAGGGGCTACCACTTCTGCAGATCAAGGTAAACCCCCCAATCCAGCAAAGCAGCTCAAGCAAACTGTCAGTGACATAAAACATGACGTTCAGTCTCAACTCCAACAGACCCGTCAAACCGGTGTTAGGGTTCGGAAAATTGCAAGTAAACTAAAGAAGCTCCACATCAGTGGCCTCAACAATGCCATAAACTCAGCAACTGTGGTTGCTGTTCTCATTGCGACTGTTGCTTTTGCAGCCATCTTCACTGTACCTGGCCAGTACGTCGAGGAGAAAACAGATGGTTTTTCACTTGGGCAAGCCCACATAGCAAAAAATGCAGCTTTCATAATTTTCATATTGTTTGACAGCATGGCTTTATTCATCTCCCTGGCTGTTGTTGTAGTCCAGACTTCTGTGGTAGTGATAGAAGAGAAGGCAAAGAGGCAACTCATGTTTGTGATAAACAAGGTCATGTGGTTGGCTTGCCTCTGTATTTCTGTTGCTTTCATTTCTCTCACCTATGTTGTGGTGGGTTCAAAAGAAAGGTGGCTTGCTGTGACTGCAACAGTAATTGGTAGCACAATCATGCTCACTACAATTGGCTCGATGTGCTATTGTGTCATTCGGCAAAGGTTGGAGTCAGCAAAGATGAGGAATATAAGGAGAGGTGAGACGTTGTCCCGTTCTTTCTCAATGTCTATGGCATCAGATCCTGAGCTTTTGAACGAAAAATATAAGAGGATGTATGCACTTTAAGAGCAAAAGAAATTCAGGAGAAGCAGAAAAGAAGATTGGATGGCATTCTGTTCACCTATCTATCTTGCAGCAAGTAGTTGCTGTTCTGCTCTCGTGACCGCTGTTCGGTTGTAGATTTGAGCCTTATTTGGTTCAGTACATCAGGTGAAGATAGTATAGTCACCTTGGTTCTCTTCACCTGTTGAATCTCCCATAGTATTAATGTTGTGCAGAGGTCATACAATCCAAATATTAGTTGGTTGATTGTGAGGACTTCCACATTGGATTGTGGAAGTGTGGCCTGAGGATGCCAATTACTGATATGATATTCTTATTTGTAGGTAAGTGTCTACATGTAAGCCATTTCTATGAGAAAATGTTGTATTGACCAATGATTATTATATAATATATATATATTTATATTAATAGTTTATTTCTTCATGCTCATTTTCTCAAACTACCATTTTCTGTTAGTTTGATTTGGCAAGACTTGTCTATGTCAACATTTTGCTCAGTGGGAGAGCAATGTCATCAAGTAGCAGGGATTGTGAAGTAGACTTTTCTAATAATATTCTTCCATTATAGAATTTGAGTTTATGGATCATGCTCCAGATTAACATTTTTCTATGATCCAGCAGTAAAGAATCTGATTCATGGGCAGCTTAGATTTTCTGGAGTGGTTTAATGTTTAGGACAAGATCCTCTAAGTTGAATGTATATTTTTTTTTTTACTACGTTAAACAATGAGTCAATGGATATGTGGTATTAAGTTCTTACTTCTCAAAGGAAGATTAGGGTTCAAGCCTCAATGAAAGCATGAATACGTGAGTACCAACTAAGAAAAATAAATAAATAATTTGTTTACGTTATTATAAGTTGAATTGTTAAAATATTGATGTGGGTTTTTTTTTTTTTTTTTTTTTTTTTTTCAAGATCTGTCTTATAATTTACCACATTAAGATGTGTTTTTGTGTTTTTTTAAAGTATGATTCTTTCAAGTATTTTAAATTATTAGTTGACGTGACACATCGCAAGCTGTCTAAAATTTAATTTAGAATAAAGTAGGTGACCGTTAACTCAGAAGATAGAATTGATGCTCATATTGATAAAGGGCCTTGTGATTGTCAAACTATAACCCTCTCAAAAGTAAAAATTGAGTGTTGGACAAGATGGACGTCATACCTGTCAATAAAAAATAAATACAGAAAAATGTAGAAAATGGAATGAAGCTAGAGAGTTAGTTAGATTAATGTAGGTAAAATGAAGAAAATGGAATGAATCTAAAAAGAGTTTGATCAATTTAGGTAAACAAATTTGGAAGTTTTGAATTGTTCAAACTTCATTCGCTAGTGAGGAGGTAATTTTCCTGCATGTAGATCCAGAAATTATTAATGAAATCAACAGCATGAGCAGAAAAGAAATTTTACTTGTTCAACAATCTAGACACCTTCCTTCTGCTGCTTGTAATATTTCCTTTTCTTTACATTATTGAACAAACAGTTTGTCCAAGAAAATTACAATGTGTTTTGACTAGAAAAGAATACAGTTAAAAGAATTAAAAAAAAAAATGGACCTGATACTAAACACAAGAAGTGATGATGAATGAATTAAATCTGTACCATGAGTATTTACATCAAGAGACTGACCCAGCGTAGTCCGAAGAGGAAAATGAATCTTGGCATCAGATAGCATTCCCTCAACGCTACCTCCTCATCCGATGCATGCATCCATTTCTGCCGAATATTCATCCATTTGTTGTACCTTCAAGGACCACGCAGACTTCGAAAGTCATCATCATTATCTGAGACATCGCTATAGTGCCGAACCGCAGACCGCTGGGAACCTCCGTGAGAATTTCCTTGAGTTCTTCTATAACTGTTACCCTTTGAATCATTCCGGACTGCCTTGGCTGAGAAGCAGTGACGGACTAGAACTTGATGATTTCTTGTCTCGGTGGAGCGATTGCCTCGTACAATGACCAGCAAAACCACTTCCTTATCTCGGGTGTCTTCATTCCACCAGCTATGTGGGATCCCATCCACACACTTCTCCAGGGTGTGGAAATCTTCATGATGTACTGAGACCTCGATAGATTGATCAGGGTTGATTGTGCCAGCTGCTGGTGTGACCTAAACCCAAAAAAAAAAAAAAAAAAAAAAAAAGGAGGTTATCATGGTGGGCAGAGGCAAGAAAATCTCCATGTCAGTATCATTGCAGTATCTCCAAGAGAGATCCAACATTTCCCAAAAACTAATAAGACTGCCATAACAGTATCATTGATATATCACACACTTCTCAATTGTGATATTTTATAGAAATCAGAAATTTCTACTAGATATATGATCCTATGTATAGGTATGTTAAAACCGGATATATAGCGCAAAGATTTTTCAAACAGTCTGTCTGACTGCATAATAAAGATCAAAAGCAGATTCAGCGAGCAAGTTTTATTACGAACTCCTGATGATTGAATGTCTAATAGTTGGTACCATAGATCAAACTTTGGAAGTATAGTGTCAAAACTCTCTTTAGATGAGCTTCTCCCAACTATACTTCAAGCACTTGGTAAATCAGCCACGTGAACAAGCAGATTTAGCTACCAAACTGTGGTCACAATCTCCTGACGTTGATTGTCTATAAATGGATGTTCAGATCAAACCATGGAACTATGGTGTCATAACTCTCAAAATTGAGCTTCTCGAAATACTTGGTGATTCAGCCATTGTTTGTTTATGTTTATGCGTAGATTAACAAGCACAGATAGAAATCTCTTCTAGATTGAAAAATGAGAACGATGTATAGAACATTTAACAGGCTGGTAGAATTAAATCTCTTCTATTTATGTTAGCAAATGAATTCCCAAAAGTACTGAACAAGTGCTGGAACATTCCCTAGTGTGAGGAGCGGGTAAAAAAGGAACAATCTAAGTACCGGGAAAAGAAAAGAAACAAAAAGAAAAAGGAACACTCAATCGTCCACTTGCTGTTTGGGATAGCCAAACTGCATCAATTTTCCTTATAAAAGTTCTTTTGTAAGAATGGCAGTTGTGGCAAATTGTAAGTTCTATTTGAAAGCGGGCTCCGAGGTAGGGACTGAGGGATGATAATTTTGTAATGGTAACAGAAGGGAAATTAGCAATTTTCAAAGGCATGGCTTCCTTTTCAATAAGGTGTACAACAAGAAATAACTTCTCCATTGTGCTTTATGTTAAAGTTCTAAAACGTGAATCCAAAGTTTTGAGATAAAGTAGCATTAGCATCCAATGGATAGTAAGATACATTACCTCAAGCCAACGTGGAAAACCAAAGGAACCTCTTGGACGATAATCTGATGCCTGTTCATCCTCCTTGATGGTGGACTGACCTTCACATATGATTTGATATATAGCCTTGTCTTTCTCACTTTTGTTGGTGATTTGTACAACGGATGTTTCTTGATTTTGAAGGATTATGTTGTTGGTACTAACTACTGTTTCTGGAACATAACTTAATTCTTCAAGCAAAGAAGCGATCTGTTCGTTGGATTTGACAATTTTTCCAAATTCTCGTCTCCGTATAGACCTATCAACATGGGAAATTTCACAATCGAATTTGCACCGGACAGGTTTGTGATCACTTTCTGTCACATCCATGCAAGCCTCATACCTGCCAAAAATAACATGTCTTAAAGCAGAACAAGAAAGACTAACAGGAAACAACCCCACCACGAAACCTACTGAATAATTGAAGACACAATGGGACACTCTAAACCGCACTGTGATGCTGCATCCGGACGATTGTCACGATATAGTATCCTATCACACCAGGCTGGAATGCGCTTCTTCTCCCCTGAATCATATCCTGTACAGAATTGGCAGAGAATATTCATAGTTAAATTTTTTTTAAGGAACTCATGGTTGAAGAGAAACCCTCTGAATGAAATCCCAATTGTTTTGGTGTTCCTAACTCCTAGACTCGCATTTCATTCTGAACCAGCTTGATAAAACATTTGAGGGAAATATTAATACCACTAATACTACATCATACCTCCTAAACCCGCTTTTCCCCTTTCAAACTTGTAAGTTGGAGGAAATCTGATGAGTGCCTCGCGCATCCCTTGGAAAACTTTACCAGATTTCATTTCTGCTCTCAGTTGATCCTTTTCTCGAAGCCAATCAAAGCTTCTTTGTGAAACAAAATCCCTTGCTTCATCATAAGATATTCCGAAAAGCCGATAGTTAAAATCACCAAAAAATATGACCATGTCAGCTTCGGCTAACTCAGGCCTCCCCTCTTCAGGAGCGATTCCCGGAATCTGTTGTAGCAACAAGACCTTGTCACTCAAAGCCGGTGATCAAAATAATGCAAGAAACTAAATTGACCTCAGCAATACCAAATAAAATTTGCACATACATTTGTACCACGAAGCATTTGAACAGAAGGTGGGGCGCCAACTGCAACAGAGAACACCAATGGTAAGCTGTAAGAACGAAGCAAACAAAAAAGGTAAGAGAGCAAGACAAGAAAAGGTATGGCACCATACCAGTAGCAGTATTAAGGAGGTTAGATGATCGGCTGAAAACCATTGTTCGATAAATATGATCAAAATCAGCATTACGGCGATTGACCGCTTCCAGATGTGCAGCAAAGTGACAGTTCACAAAGCATATTATCCGATCAAAAACTCTTAATCTCAAACCGACACCGCCCTGCTCAAAGAAATGTAGCCATGTAATTCATGATATTTGAAAAAATATATAACAAAATGATTAACAAGAAAAAAAAATACAAGTTCCCACATTCTACTCTCACACAAAATTAATAAATATTTCTTTTCATGATCTTTACTTACAAAAATTCAAACCTAGAGCATAACACAAACCCCCTCCCCCCCCTCCCGCACACACACACACACACACACAAAAGGAAAAAAGAGAAACAGAAATATTAAATATATTGGATCAAGCTACTAGAACAATATACTTGTGATAACATGTAGCAAAGATATGACTATTTTGATAATATCAACTTTAGAGCAGGGCTGTATCATTCTTTGATTCAGTCAAACGAGTAGATCAAAAGGGACAGATACTAGAGAAGAATGAGAACAGTGGAAAGAATAACTGATTGAATTCTCTTTACCCCACTTCTATCATTCAATGTTATCTGGATTATTAGATGCACCCTAGAGCACCCGCCAGGATGCACTCTGCTCTAGTTCTGTTGTCCACTCTATTAGGCTCCGTCAGATCAGATAGAAATAGCAAGAAAGGAAAGGAAATGGAAATTTTTAAACACTGCAGATATTTGGATAGCAGGAAAAGAAATTTTTTGAGGGTATGTAATTTTCCATAAGCACCAATCTTCCTGTAAATTTTATTATTATTATTACTTTGGATAAGTTCCCATATAATTTTCGTACAAAAACCACAGGAAAATTTACAATAATACCCATTATTTTCTTGTAAGTTTCATGCATTCCAGACTATGACATAGAAATTACCCATAACTTTCTTGAAATATCTTCATACTAATCAAATGCATGTTGGAAAATTTAATTCTTTTCATCCAATTCACTTTCCCATATTAGTTTCCCTTTAACCAAATGGACCCTTAGAGAAATCATGTTGCAGAAGTGCATCTGAATGCCTTGAATACCCAATTTCAATTTTTCTTAGCAGAAGAAACAGAGGTAAAATGGTATGTCAAATGATTTCAGATCATAATCACAACCACCAGAAAGCTTAGGTTGGTTAGGCTCAGTTTGGTTTGCAGATTTAATGAGGGAAAGGAAGGAAAAGAAAAGGTTAAAAAAATACCATACATTTTCTACTCTACTTGAATAAGAAACTATACATTTTTCAAATCTCAATTTTGAAAAATGAAAGGGAAAATGACACAAAAAAAATTAAAATTTTGTCCCTTGTTCTATCTTTGGAACAAAAGAAGTGAAAAAATTGGAAGGAAGAGGATGTAAGAGGTATAAGAAGGTCTCCCTAGGGAAAGTAATAAGCCTTCCTCCCATAATGTTTGGTTGAGTAGAAAGAAAATGAGGAAGGGAAGGGCTATTGCTTGATTTAACCACTATACACTTTAATAATTAAGGGTAAAAATGTAAAAAAGAAGGAAAGCTGATTCCATCCTCCTTTGCTCTCATTTCCAGAGAAAGGGTTATCATGGGCACGAACGAAAGTGGCTTTCCTCCTCCCTTCATTTTCCTTTCCCCCCTCCCTCTCATGGTTCCATGGTAACTAAAACAAATGAAAATGATTTCTTTAGCATTATTTTTTCATTTCCCTAAATCTGCAAACAAAACAGTGGCTTAACTAAATGGAGAGAGAGAGAGTAATATGCTTAAGGTCCATGACAGCACATGTAATTTCCACGAGAGTGCACTGTAAGGAAAAATAATATAACTACTAGCATGATGCAAGAAATTAACAAATAAAAATTTAAATACTCTTACCAACATTCCCAAACTTGCTAAGAATGATATAAACTATATTTATACATAGTAGTACAGCCATACTGTAAGTGAATCTGATTAGCAATTGACAGTGAGACAGGATTGCCAATGCCGAATAGCAGTAAGCCACAAGCAAGCTTTACATATCAATAGGTCATAACGATTAGAATTTGAATGAAAGAAAATGAGCTAAGAATCTCCAAACTTCTCTGCTTTCATTTTCTTCCCTAACTAAATTAAGGATATCTAACTCCCCACAGTGCATGAAAAATGAGCCTTGTGAAGGAAGACAATCATACCTTATTACCAATTGCTCGCCCTAAGCCACACGCAACTGCTGCAACATCAAGGTCGCCAACATTCGTTCTAAGATCCTTTCTAACCCTAGGCAACAAATGTCAGGCATAACATTAAGATGAAGCAGTATAAAAGGGCAGAAGCATTTAGGACGTCTTTTGGAAGGGAGAAAGATGCCAGATCAAAGACAGTTTAAAAGGAGATGAGAGGCTTTATTGTGTATCACTATGTTGTAACAGGTTCCATGTTTAACATAGAAACAAAAGAGGTCACTAAAAGAACTTCGGTGATAAGGAAGTACCAGATAGCTATGAGCAATGCTGCCAGCTGCCTAGATCCTACACGTTGAAAAGTTGATCCTTCATCCAAGGTCTTTCCAATTGTGTCCTGCCACCACTGCCCAACAGCACTCCCTTCGAGTCCTACCTACAATTGGCGTAAAATTAATCAATTGATATAAGTATACAAAAAATGGAGAAAAAAGATTAATTTTTGGAAGAAAAATTTCACTTTTCTGTAGTAGGGACTTATTCCCTGAAAAGCAAAAGTTCCCACTTGTGGTGTGTGTGCAACATCCAGTCTACAGTCCACCCTTACAGAAAGTGCACCACATAAGTGAAACGGTAGAATAACTAGAAGTAATAATATTAGATGCCTTGGAGTCAATATATCATGGTAGGAATTGTAAACATATTCAAATGACAAATGTGCTGGTTTCTAGAGTATCACAGGAAGTTCAGTCAACAAAAGAAAAGAAAATTCAGATGGAAATATTTCACCAACTTAAAGCACATAAAATGTGTTGGCCTTTTCAATTAATTTCTTTTGACTTTAATTCTAAATTTAATATACGATTAAAGTGAAGTTGCTCCACAAGGGAAATGACAACAAAATGTTTTGAAGATGATCTCACGTACAGTTTCTTTTGCTGCAGACATTGCAAGAAAACCTGCGCCCATCTCCACTTCTTGCAACCCAACAACAACAATGCCAACATCTGATGATGCAGAACCCAGCCATGACATAAGTGACTCAGGAGAGGCTTTTGCTTGACCAACATTCCAGGTACCAACTAAAATCTTAACATTTTCTTGCCTTGTGTACATTTGTTCTTTTCCAGCCAATTCTGAGCGAAGTATGTTGTCAAGAGGTCCAGGAGATATGATGTTCCATCCACGTATACCACCATGTGTAGCCAGGCTAAAAACATAACCAGTCCCAACTACCAATTTTATCACAGGACTATTATGAGCAATCCATCCTGCAATCAGATTTCCCTCAAGGTCTAACATCTGGACCATACCACTCGCATAGCCTACCCATATTTGTGACCCCAAAGTGCAAAAGCATTGTACAGCAAAAGGATGGTGATGAAAATCTTGCAAACGATTGCCATTACCATCCCATTGAACAATTAAGCCATTTGAACATCCACTCCATATCAGTCCATCTATAGTTATCACTAGTGCTTCTGTTTTCTTAGTATCTTCCACAAACGTCCCTGTGCCCTTTGTTGCAACTCGACGAACAGCATCTGCAGCTCCCATTATAGCATTACGTGACCGTTGCAAAAAGCTAATACCTTGGGATTTCTCCTTTTTCGATTTAGAAACAAACTTTACATTCATCTCATCTTCAGATGCTTGATCTTGCACTGCTGACATATCGACTCGATTCTCAATCTGACCATCTACATTATATACTTTCAAGAGTTCCCTTGTACGAGCATCCCTACAAAATAGCCAACAATCAGGATAATTAAGATTGGATAAATGAAGTGTAAAAGCTCCTTACAAGCAAGAAGGCACAAAAAACTATGATGCTTTCTTGAGGTGTTCTATTGATTGATATAAGAAAGAATTTTCTTGCATGTATAATATTGATTTTTGAAGAGGCTGTTAACCTGATGCTTCATGAGGCACCAGGGCCGAGTTCTTATCCACTTAAGCCGAACAATATCAAACTTACAGAGGACAGTATCTGAAGTGCAAACTTACCACAATGAGAAGGATAGAGACCCAGTTGCCCATACTTTAGCTCTGATGTTATCAGATAATAAACACTTTACATCTGAAGAAGATATATTACAGACACCATTAACAGTGACTTGGCTCCGAAGATCAATAGCTGACCTCTCCACTAGTAAAGCAGCCATGTGTCTTTCCTCTGGCGATAAAGAGAGAGATTTCTCAATGGCTTCCCATGGCCAGATCTTAATAATACCACCCTCAGAACCTGACCATAGATCACCTGGATCAAAGCAATAGTAGTTAAAATTGACACGAGTGAAATTGAACTACATAATGTCTGACAGATTTGAAAGTTATTTGTCTTATGTTTATGGTTCATTTTTGTCCGAATCTATAAAAATTAAGCCATTGATAAGTGCCTAGTTGGATACTGCAACATTTTAACCAAATAGTGCCAACTTGACCATCTCAAGGTTGTTTAAGGGACAGGGTGAATTATAAGGCGTATTCTAGCACCATCAACGTGCATGAACCAGCAATAAAGATGATGCAAATGGAGCTTAGTTCCTGAGAGCTTTTAATAATAAACAACAACCAGATACATGCACTTGTGTTGAACATGTCAACTTCAAGTAATTATGAAGGCATTATGGTCGGAAATATGCAAACTTTCATGTATATTACACTAAATGATCCTATATTAAAACAAGTAATAGAAAGAAGAGCATTTCCATCTTTTACCTTGATTTCACTTATCCTAAACATAAAGGAGATAAACTAATAGCACCACATCAAGACACAAAACGGAAAACCGCAAAGTACATAACACCCTAGGCTCAGGAAACATCAACATAGAGAGACATGTATCATGGCATCTATCAATCAAGAAAAAGTTGATGATTTGGCTACAATTCATCTGATCAAACAGCTACCATAAGCTATTGTCATTTTGCATGTTAGTTATTTAGAAGCCCCACTAGATTAGATACGAATTCCCCAATTTTGGTTAGTTCTCTAGATACAAAGAGAGAGAACACATGGTTGTTCAGTATGAATGATCAAACCAAATCAGTTACACATACAGCACAGATACGGACATGAGATAAGATAGAACACAATACAAGCACAATGATACAGCAAATCCTGAATTGCATAATATGCAATGAAAGGGAGTCAACAATAAAAAATAAAAATAAAAATTATACAATTATAATCTTTATGATTGCAGTTGAGCTTGAAGGAAAGCATATTCCAGGTTTTCTCTGCTTTGGCGGATCAGATAGTTTAAGCTATTTTGTCTTTGGTTTATTTGCCTTGTTTGGTCTTTGGTATCTGTGCTGCTGTTTTTTATATCTTTGGCTCTTGTTTGGTATCTGTCTAAGAGCCTTTTTTGGTTTCCTATTTTCTTTGTTTTGTTTGATAGTTGGGTGGTCCGGATGATGATCCTCTGTTCTTTCCTAGGTATGCCCCTTGTAGGTTGTACAGATTCTTCATTTTGTTTATCATGCATGATATCTTTCTAAAAATAAATAAATAAAAATCTTTATGATAACAATAATTCCTATGAAGTTACTAAAAATTTTCTGCTTCATAATAACTAGTATTCACAAAGTAGTCCTGCAGCTCCTGCTATTTATATCAACTATAAAAGCAAGCGAAGATGAAGAAAACAAATTCCTTAACTGTGATAGTCGTGACCAAAATAATATTAACATCACTCAATATCCTTCTATCTATAGTTATCACTAGTGCTTCTGTTTTTTAGTATCTTCCACAAAACTCTCCGCGCCCTTTGTTGCAACTTGAGAGACTTTCTCCTTTTAGTATTGGCCACAATGGCGGGAGAGACCACAATTATACAGACATTCAATTTTGCATGTTTATATTAAATTAATCTCTAAAAAAATTGCAACTAATAGGAGGTAAAAGTTTTTTGGCGTTGCTCAAACCGGTACCTGTTATGAGCAAATGCCTGGCCACTCGTATAATTACATGAATTAATCAATTTCCCAAAAAAAAAAAAAAAAAAAAAAAAACAACAACAACAATATTCTATTATAAGTAGTTAAAATTTGGATTTGGACTTATAATATGCAAGTGGATAACAGCTCAAGCTTAAATTCTCCATCTTTGATGGGTTAGAGAGAGCATATTGTCTCAGTTTGAGATTACAAACACCAAATTGTTGATTGGGAAAATGACTCACCATAAGAAGTCATCACCATGGAAAGAATGGGGCCGCGATGAGCCTGCCAAGAGAGACCTTCCTTGAAAGGATTATCATCCAAAGGCTGATCAGTCTTCCAAGACCTAATTTTTCCATCCTTGTGTCCACTCCAAACCAGTTTACACCCTGAATCAACTATCAAACACATGGTGGGCGGAGTATTAACTGATTCGTGGAACGGTGCTGCATCCTCGTCCCCTCTCCTCGCCCTACCGCCCATCCCTATCCCCGCCTCGTGCGCGTAGGAGAAATTCCAAACCCTAATCCCAGATTCTTGACCCGCCCACAATTGTGTGTCCGTACAACCAATCGTTCTCAAGAACTTCCCCACCTGAGTCTCCCTCAGCGGATGCGGCCTCAACTCGAGGCACGGCGGCCGGCCGGGATGCACGGCGGCGCGCGTGGGCACCTTGAAGATTCCGGCGCCGCCACCTTTCGCAATGACCTCCGGCATCGCTTGCCCTGACTCATTGGAGCTGTCAACGGATATTCTCTGCTCAATGTGGCCACCGTCGATGCCACCTCCGACGGAGTCCCTGCCGCCGCTTCCGGTGGCGTAGGGGTAGAAATCGTCGTCGTCGGACTCGTAGTAACCGTGGTCGATGTTCTTCGGGATTTGGTCTTCATCGTAGCTGTGCTTCCGAACTCGGTGGTGGATGTTGTGGCTCGGGGTGTTGTTCCGCAGCTGCTGGCTGTACGATTGAGATTTCCGGTGCGGTGGGGCATCGGTGATGGCGGCCAATGCGTCCCTGTCGTCGTCTTCTAATCGATCGTCCATTCTTGAAGAGAGAGGTTGTCAGAGAGTGAAATATTGAAACAGGACCATACGAAAGAAGAGAGAGAGAAAAATGGAGGTAGAGAGAGAAAGAGTCTACAAATTGGCGATTGGGAGGAGAGAGAAAGAGGAGAGAGAGGGGAAGATGTTGCATGGGATTGCGAGGAGTGTGGCGAAGCATGCTGGGAGTGTACGGACAGGAACGCTTTGTTTAAAAAATGTCGATTGATTGTGACTTTAATGCCCTTTTCCCTACCAAACTGCTGGATGATTTGATCACAACTGTGCAATGCAGATAATCCCAACTCAAACTGATCGCAACCGTCCAATGCAGATAATCTTAACTCAAGCTGAAAATGTTTGTCCTCAATTGTGGGACAAGACTGAACGTCAAAACCTTGGAGTCTTTTATCCTCTACTTTAACTGGATGTTGTAAAAAATATTCTAATTAAGGCTGTATTTGTTTGAAGTAAAATATTTTTTTCATTGTTTGACAAAGGTTTACAAGATTAAGATCCGCTCAATCGGGCGGGATATATAAAATAAGTTACGAAAAATTAATAGATATGTTATTTTTATTAAATTTTAATATTTTTTTCTTTTTAAATATTTAACAACAATCAAACACCAAAAAAATAAAAAAATATTTTTTAAAAATATTTTACATCAAAAACAAATGATGTTTAAGTCACTTTTGTTTTGACATAAATATCTTTCTTAGAATTTTTTTTTTTTTTTTTTTTTTGAGATAATATATCTATATCTATATCTATACTATTATTAAATGTGCAAAGTGTTTCAGTGTTTCAGTATTTATTTATTTATATAATAAAATATTTATTAATTGATATAAAATTAGTTTTTGTAAAAATAGCTTCTATAAAACTTTAAAAATTACCTAATAAAATCATTCACATTCTATATAAAACTCTTATTTTTAGTTATTTTTTATGGATAATTATAGTTTTTATAAAACTTTAAAAATTACCTAATAAAATCAATCACATTCTATATAAAACTCTTATTTTTAGTTATTTTTTATAGATAATTATCACAATATAACCGGCCCCGCCCAATTATGATTATGTCATTATCAGAAAATGGCACATGTTATCATCATATCCATCCAAGAAGCCTATAAATAGAGGCATTGAGGAAGGAGGGAGGGGTACAGAAATTGAGAATTCTAGAAATCCAGAATTCCAGAGTAAAATACAGAAGCTCTGCCAAAGAGTTTCAGTATTTCAGTATTTATTTATTTATATATAAATTATTTATTAATTGAGTTGAATTTTAGAGTAAAATACAAAAGCTCTGTCAAGAGTTTTCAGTATTTATTTATTTATATAAAAAAATATTTATTAATTGATATAAAAAAAAAATTTTATCTATATTATTATTAGATATGTAAAGCGTTTCATTATTTATTTATATAAAAAAATATTTATTAAATGATATGAAAAGAGTTTTTACTAAAACGAAAAAAAAAAAAAAAAAAAAAAAAAAAGACTATACTATTATTAAATGTGCAAAGTGTTTCAGTATTTATTTATTTATATAAAAAAATATTTATTAATTAATATAAAAATAGCTTCTATAAAACTTTAAAAATTACCTAATAAAATCAATCACATTCTATATAAAACTCTTATTTTTAGTTATTTTTTATGGATAATTATAGTTTCTATAAAACTCTAAAAATTACCTAATAAAATCAATCACATTCTATATAAAACTCTTATTTTTAGTTATTTTTTATGGATAATTATAGTTTCTATAAAACTCTAAAAATTACCTAATAAAATCAATCACATTCTATATAAAACTCTTATTTTTAGTTATTTTTTATAGATAATTATCACAATATAATCGGCCCCGCCCAATTATAATTATGTCATTATCAAAAAATGACACATGTCATCGTTCTATTCATCCAATAAGCCTATAAATAGAGGCATGGAGTAAGGAGGAAGGGGTACAGAAATTAAGAATTCTAGAAATCCAGAATTCCAGAGTAAAATACAGAAGCTGTATTTCAGTATTTATTTATTAATTGAGTTGAATTTCAGAGTAAAATACAAAAACTCTGTCAAGAGTTTTCAGTATTTATTTATTTATATAAAAAAAATATTTATTAATTGATATAAAAAAAGTTTTTATCTATATTATTATTAGATATGTAAAGCGTTTCATTATTTATTTATATAAAAAAATATTTATTAAATGATATGAAAAGAGTTTTTACTAAAACAAAAAAAAAAAAAAAAAAAAAAAAAAAAAAGACTATACTATTATTAAATGTGCAAAGTGTTTTAGTATTTATTTATTTATATAAAAAAATATTTATTAATTAATATAAAAATAGCTTCTATAAAACTTTAAAAATTACCTAATAAAATCAATCACATTCTATATAAAACTCTTATTTTTAGTTATTTTTTATGGATAATTATAGTTTCTATAAAACTCTAAAAATTACCTAATAAAATCAATCACATTCTATATAAAACTCTTATTTTTAGTTATTTTTTATAGATAATTATCACAATATAATCGGCCCCGCCCAATTATAATTATGTCATTATCAAAAAATGACACATGTCATCGTTCTATTCATCCAATAAGCCTATAAATAGAGGCATGGAGTAAGGAGGAAGGGGTACAGAAATTAAGAATTCTAGAAATCCAGAATTCCAGAGTAAAATACAGAAGCTGTATTTCAGTATTTATTTATTAATTGAGTTGAATTTCAGAGTAAAATACAAAAACTCTGTCAAGAGTTTTCAGTATTTATTTATTTATATAAAAAAATATTTATTAATTGATATAAAAAGAGTTTTTATCTATATTATTATTAGATGTGTAAATAGTTTCATTATTTATTTATATAAAAAAATATTTATTAAATGATATGAAAAGAATTTTTACTAAAAAAAAAAATCTATAAAACAGTAAAATTTACATTATAAAATTTAAATTAACAAATTTATCTATTTATTATTATCCATTTTAAATAAAAGAAAATCTAATTTGACAAGATTTATTAATATAAAAAATATTTATTAATTGATATATAAAATAAAATAATTTTTATAAAACTCTACCACAGATTAGCTTTTATTATGAGTATCTTAATAAAATTAAAACTAATTAGACAAGTATATATTTAAAGAAAATAAAATAATTTCAATAAAATTCTATTACAAATTACCAATTTTATTATTAATAAAACTTTATCCACAAAAATATATTTAAAGAGTTTCTATAAAACTCTGACACAAATTACCAATTTATCAATTTATCATGAGTTTTTTAATAAAAGGAAACCTAATTAGACAAGTATTATTAATATAAAAAATTATTTATTAACTGATACAAAATGAGGTTTTTAAAGAGTTTTTAAAACACAAATTACCTATTTATCTATTTATTTTGAGTTTTTTTTACTAAAAGTAAATCTAATTAGACAAGAACTATTAAAATAAAAAATATTTATTAATTGATATAAAAAGAGTTTTTAAAAGAGTTTATATTAAACTATAACACAAATTACCTATTTATTTATTTATTACAAGTTTTTTAATAAAAGAAAATCTAATTTACCTAATAAATCCAATCACCTTTTATATAAAACTCTTATTTTTAGTTTTTTTTTTATGGATAATTATAATTTTTATAAAAATCTAAAAATTACCTAATAAAATCAATCATATTCTATAAAAAAACTCTTATTTTTATTTATTTTTTATGGATAATTATCACCATATAACTGGCCCGGCCCAGTTATGATTATGTCATTATCAGAAAATGACACATGTCATTATCCTATTCATCCAAGAAGCCTGTAAATAAAGGAATGGAGGAAGGAGGAAGGAGTACAGAAATAGAGAATTCTAGAAATCTAGAATTCCAGAGTAAAATACAAAAGTTCTGTCAAAGAGTTTCAGTATTTATTAATTAATATAAAAAGAGTTGAATTTCAGAATAAAATACAGAAACTTGTCAAAGAGTTTGAGTATTTTAATATTTATTTATTTATATAAAAAAATATTTATTAATTGACATAAAAAGAGTTTTTATCTATATTATGAGTTTTAGTATTTATTTATTTATGTAAAAATATATATATTAAATAATATGATAAAACACTAAAATCTACATAATAAAATTTAAATTAACCTATTTATCTATTTATTATTATCAATTTTTTAATAAAATAAATTTAATTAGACAATAATTATTAATATAAAAAATATTTATTAACTGATATATAAAATAAAATAATTTTTATATAACTCTACTATGAGTTTCTTAATAAAATTAAATCTAATTAGGCAAGTATATATTTAAAGAAAATAAAAAAATTTCTATAAAACTCTATTACAAATTACCTATTTTATTTTCCATAAAACTCTATCAACGGAGTTTCTATAAAACTCTATCAACAGAAACTACCTGTTTATCCATTTATTATGAGTTTTTTTTAATAAAAAGTAACCTAATTAAACAAGTATTATTAATATAAAAAATTATTGTGAGTTTAAAAAGAGTTTTTAAAAAACTCTAACACAAATTACCTACTTGTCTATTTATTATTAGTTTTTTAATGAAACTAAATGTAATTAGACAATAATTATTAAAATAAAAAATATTTATTAATTGATATAAAAAGAGTTTTTAAAAGAGTTTATATTAAACTCTAACACAAATTATCTATTTATTTATTATAAGTTTTTTAATAAAAGAAAATCTAAGTAGACAAGAATTATTAATATAAAAAATATTTTTAATTGATATAAAAAATAAAATAATTTTTTTAAAATTTACCACAAATTACCTTTTATTATGAGTTTTTTTTAAATAAAAGCTAATCTAATTAGATAGGAATTATTCAAAATATAAAAATATTAATTAATTCATGTAAAAATAGTTTACAAATATTTTCTATAATACTCTAACACGTATTACAAATTACAATTTTTAATAAAAGAAAATCTAATTTTCAGAGTAAATTACAGAAGTTCTACCAAACTGTTTCAGTATTTATTTAATTATATAAAAAAATATTTATTAATTAATATAAAAAAACATTTTATCTATACTATTATTAAATTTGCAAAGAGTTTTAGTATTTAAGTAACTATTTATAAAAAAATATATTTATTAATTGATATGAAAAGTATTTAAAAAA